GACGAAATACTCTACGCTCTATCAGCACCGAGTGAGCTGCCGCGGACGAAAAACGAGCCATTACGTGCTCCGTCAGAGGCCAGCACTCGCTCCCGCTACTAAGCATCGCGCAGGCCTTAACTATCTGTCCGATACAATCTCCCCTTAATTGCGAGCCGCTTAAGGCCAGCACCTACCCGATCGCGAGAGAGGCACTCTCTCGGGGAGAATACTTCCTTATCTTCGATGTCACCATGGCTGTGGGGACCCGAGGACGTGCTCGCCAGCCGGGCTGATCCCAACACACCATCGTGCCACAAACACTGCCCGAGATGCGATTACCACAGACCGGACGTAGGCAAAGGAGCAGACACACGACAGACGGCTCGGAAACGAAAGAGAGTGCGACTCAACCTCTATGTGAAGAGATAGGTCTCCCATGCGTGGCGATAATCACACAGGAGGCTAGAACGTACAACGTCTTAAAAAACCGAGTCGGAGGGAGAGGACGAGCTCGCAGGGAGAACATTGTGTCTTCCTGACCATTTCAAACATAAGAAAGCCACGCCATGTGCCGACATATAGAGACACTTATCTGGCACATCCTACAACGAACATGGTGTAGTGAAAAAGCCTACACCGGCCACTAGTCCGCTAATCTAGCAGGCACTAAACTACGTCACGATCAGCCGAGCAGACGATTCGTCAGCAGGATCTTTTCCAGTTCCTTTCATGAAGTCCCTCACCAAGGCTATCGAGCGTTGGAAGTTAGGGCAAAAATAGAGGCAGGACAAGGAAAAAGGGGAGACCTCAAGGAGCAGGCTGGATCCTCTCACTGCATGCCGACAACCGCGTCAATGTTGCATCTCACTTTGTCCAGATATAAGGCAGCCCCCGTGAGGGGCGCAGACCCTCGCCCTTCTCGCGCCTAACGGTTGACTCCATTCGTACATGTCCTTCCACCAGAGCAAATCAAAGAGGCTGTAACAGCATGCTTAAGCACGCACGGTTGTGGCGCCGGTTACCACCTGAGTCGAGCGTCGCGACGAGCACAGCTTCTATGCCACGGTTAGGGTGGGCTCGAACACGACACTGTTTGCCACAAGTCTCGAGGACAGATAATAAGTGTAAGCGTGAGCCGGGCCAGCGAGCTTCTCTCACGACTCAGAGTGCATCACCCACATGCGACCTGTGGAACCACTAGCGGGATGGGAGCAAGGGGCATTGAGCGCAGTTGCCATCTAAAAGGAATCTCTTCTCCGGCGACAACTACAAACCCGCGAACTTTTCCTCGAACATCCTGGACGAGTCCGCAGCCATTCGTAGACCAGCGCTGTACAGCTCATGGTAATGCGCAGTCAACGTATCCCCCGCGGAAAACGCAAAGGAGTACTACCGAGCCAGCTCAACAATGCCGTCCGGCATCTCTGGACGTACCTCCGTCCACGCCTGTGTGCTTGGCTATTAGAAAGACGCTGTCGAGTTAAGCACCAAGGGTACTCGCAGGTCTCCAGCACGCACACCTTAGCAACCATCTCACTGCAAAGTCTGGATTCGGGCAGCCCACTCATCCCTAGAACGACCGAACACCCGCAACCCATCCGGGACGCGTGTTACAGACTCGCCAACAAAGTTGCACACAGCCGTGGAAACCTCAATGCCTACAGTCATCAGCAGAGTTAGAAGAAGGACCACGACAATGATGGACTTCTGACCAGTCGCGAGTGTTTTGCAATTGTTGGAAAACCATCACGACTTCGAGGAGCCCTCCGGTGGCAAGTACTCTTCACCCAGCTGCTCAGCCAACAAGAAAATGATGGCAGCCGGGAGTCCGACTTTTCGCTCTAGAGATGGCAGCACGGCAGTCAAGCTCGACTCTTTTACACTTTTCACACCCTGATCGATCGATCACCGCCAGCGGCCACGCCGCCGGAGGTCAGGCAGGCCCAGCAGCCATGAGCGGGACATACGATGCTTCAGCCCGCCCTCGAAGAGTCCAACACTCTCGTAGCGACAATCTCTCCTGCACCGTTTCAACGACTTCTAACTTAAACCAAGGCGGCCAGATCCTCCAGAATACGAGAGGTGAAGTCTATCGCACCTCTGGCGACGACAGCCTTAGTGCCAACCTCTTGAAACTCCTCGTAGGGTGGCGAAGTCTTTGGGGCTCGCCGTCTTCTGCCACGCGCTTGTATGCTTCCCATTCTTCGCTTTCACGACGCTGGACCTCGCGTACTCCATAAGACGCCGAGCCAGCTCGCCATAGTCAGCCTAGGTCTCGTTCAACATCCACCTTGCGTCGTCGCGCGGCACGGACGCTCACTCCATTGGGCACATCCTCGAGCGCGGAAGATGGCCATTACCGCTGCATCCAGCCACCGGAGCAGCGCCGAGCCATGCGCCCAGCGCACCCAAAAGTCCGGCCACTGGTATATGTAACCGAGCCAGGGGTCTCCGACGGGAAATCTGGGCGAGAGCGCAACGAGACTTGCCCGTCTCAGCGCTGCTCTCTAGCGGCTGAAGCATGCCATGAACACATCAGGAGGTCTGTGTGGGTACCAACGATAGCAGACGGCTGGGCAAACTTCCACCAACCCAGGATCGGATATCTCCCCTCCTGCAGGAGCCCACGAACACAAGCAAGGAAAAGCGAGGTTCTTACCGGTTGTCTTCCTCTAAACGGCAGCCACCGACGCGGGCCGCAAAGGTCTAGTCGCGTCTGCCAGGACGGGGCCTGTGCTGGGGAGCCAGGTCTTCGCCGGGTCAGAACTTTGATTATCCTTCACAGTTTTGAGTGGTTGACCTTCTTACCAAGCACATCGTCCGATATTCGTCTGTTCCCTCCGGCTGCTAGGTTACCTTCTGAGTCTCCCTTTTCGCGAAGAACGTGCTGCAGATTGCCAGATCGTTGGGCAGTAGCCAGGTCCAGAACCCTCTCTCCATCAGGCGTTCCTCGGTCCGATCTCCTCCTCCGTGCACTCTTTCTAAGCTCTTCTTGTCACTACCGACGTGACCATTCAGGTCACCTGCTATGGTCAGGTAATCACCTCCCGGAAACCGATCTTATCTTAGTGTGCCTTTCGGGGACCCGGCTTGCGGTGCGTACACGGAAAGTATGGTCAGTACCCCTCCTTCGTGTCCTATCCTCACAGCCATGACGATCGCTGATCCTGTCACTGCGGAAACATAGTCCTGACCGACTCCGCTACCGCCTATGGCAACGCCGTTCCGCTTGGTGTATTCTCCATTGTAGTAGAGCTTGACACCTTCCCGATTTCTGTGGCCTTAACGCCTTTCCATGCGATATCCTGAAGCACAGGACTTGGATTTCCTGCGCGCCATCAGGAATTCGCAACCGCTCGGGACTTCCCAGTTAGCGTTCCTACGTTCAGAGTCCAATTCGAACTAGCTCCTTTGCCGAGGCCCGTTCACTCCTCGGTACCCCCGCATACTGACCACAGAATTTGGGGCGGCGGATTCTTCGCCGCCACTTCCGGGTGACGTCCTAGCTTTAACACTTTGATTCCTTTTTTGACTTTAGACATATTTGTTGTGACGGAGGTTTTGATCACCCGGCCTGTAAACCTGGGCCTGACGCTGGTACTAGAACCATTTTTGCAATTTTTGGAAGGCGTGGTTTAGAACCTCAGCAGGGATCGAACTCGCGGTTTTTCAGAGGTGCAGACATGAGTCTAACCTCTTAACCACTCGGCTATCCCCTCGTACTCTGACTTGTCTGGCTGGACAAATTCAGTCCTAAACACGAAATACTATTTTCAAGCGGTTTCACCTTCCCTTTAGCTCAGTGCTACGATAAGAGCAGATTTGCTTTTAGGCAGTCATCATTCATTCCATGCTTTGTAAACTGGTCCGTATGGTTGTTTTAATGGAAGGATTTTGGATCACCAGGATTGTAGTAAGGATAATAGCAAAATATGGGAACGATGAGAAACGCGTTTCATCTAGACAGCTTGCGGTGGTGCATCGGCTGTGCCCAGGTATCTGCTACTAATCTCAGGTGGTAGCGTCCGGGTGAACTTCCGATTCACAGCGCAATGGATTTTCATTGAAAGTGACTGGGGGCTCAGGATGAGGTCAAACTTTGCAGCTTGTATCGCCTTTGCCGATGCTTTCAAGTCAATAGCCCAGTGCCCAATCAGTAGCAAAGACTGAGGCAAACACAGCGCTGGTCTTGTCTACTGCACTCCTTGCAAGGTTCTTCTTCAAATGACAATAATCGCCTGCTTTGGTCGTTGATCCATTTCGATCCCTATTTACTTAGTTCACTGCCCTTTGACCATCTGGAACATCCTTGTTTAAGGTACTGATGCCTCCTTCAACATACTAACTTACTATATCTTCTCTTTGAAATTCTCGATGAGAACTCTTCTAATATAAAATTTCTTGATTAGCTTTCGCTGTAATAAGTAACAGCTTCTTCAGACTTACAAGAAACATCAGCTATATTACAATACTTCAAGTATAAGAAACATCAACATAACAACCATCAACTGACGAGGCCGATGCTCTCGTTAATGGGGTATTTTGCAAGGCAATAATTCAAGAGTCGTCAGTATTATATTAACAGAGTTCTCAGGGATAGCTCAATAATATCTAATACTAACTTAGCATTTCATAATGACACTAACCTGACGTGAAGAAAATTGATTCTGAAAAATTCGGCTAGGAATTATGGATCAACCCAATACTTCCATTTGCGCGTTCGTAGAGGCGTTTGATTGCGATTCGGCCTACATAATGGCTTGCGGGGGCCAGCCGATGTACTCGTCAGTGTATTTTTATCCTCCTAGATAAGTCTGGTATCGTCTGGTATCCGGTCCCGGAGGGAATGAAGGCTTGGTTGGCCCGGACGACGCACGACCCAGGATTCGATCCCCTGACCGCCCGTGGTAAGCGTACCGCTTGCCACAACACCACTGCCACCTTGAAAACATCATATGCTACAAATAGTCTAAACACGGGATTAGATTCAGGTGCAGAAAAACGGCCATCCACCGATTATGGACAAGCAATTGACGCTTCCATCTCTCGCGATACCAATGCATGTTGGAGATCTCAAAAGAAACCGCTCACTTCGAGTAAGTTCAGTCAGATAGGTCGCTATTCGATTTTCACTTTCAAACACTACATTGTACTCGATCTCTTCATTTTAAGATAAGTTCTCCAAGGAGAGAAAAGGACAAAGAGAAGCTCGAGAGAAGGCCTTCTGATGAGAGCGCCAAGCTGAGCCGCAGCGCTAGCTTGATCAGGTTCGTACGAAATTGACAAGTAGGCTCACCATGGATCGTGCACAACTTTGTCAATTGGTCAAATGACGGACGGGTTTGATGACATGTTCTCATTTCAGGAGAACGAAACATCTCTCACTGAGGATGCGCCGACACGGTGACAAGGTCGGTGACGACGAAGCTGTCGACGAAAGTGATTGCAAAATACAATAGTCAAATTGACAGCGGTATACTCGTTGAAAAAATATGCTGTCGTACTAGTGTACTGCTTCAGAAAAATTATGAATTGAAGAAAAAACATGAAGAAGTATGAGTACATTCCTTACGATATAGAACTGTGCGCCTAGAATCTTTTATGGTGACTCTCTGCAGGTTTTCTGTTGCGGATCTTGGACGGTAGGCGGAGCTTTTCCGTGATTGGACATCAAAAGGATCCACCAATCACATCCGTCGTCCAACAATGATCCGCAGCAAATACTTGAAGGAAGTACATTTTGTATTTATAAGAGTTTTGCGTTGTTGCAGAGATGTTTATTGGCTTTATTTCATGGTCATGTGTGATGTTTGAGACTTACATTGAAGAGCGATCTCGTCTTCCATATAGAATATGACAGCTACTGGTTAATGTTTCATGAGTTTTTTTTTCTCATTTTTCTTCACATTTCTGGCATCCCGAGGATATTCGCATCTTTGGTGCTTATCTGTGTTTTCGCTGTCTCTACTCCAAGTGAAGAAGCAGTAGCTGGATGTTGAGCGTTTCTTTCTTGAGTGTAATTCATTCCCAGGTGCCTCACGGGGTACAGCAAGTCACGTTGGCTGATGAGCTTTTGCAAGGAAATGGAACAAGCGCGGGTACCCAATAGGAGGCCCGTCGCGCCGTGTGAAGGTAGAAACGCAGAAGAGCCATCGGACGAGTCGCAGCTCGTACTATGGTGATTTCGCGTCAAGTTAAATAAATAGAATGTACTAGGTGCGTCCCACTTGAAACAGCATGTGCTGCGACTCGTCCGATCTGTCTGCGTCTCTACCTTCTCGCCGCGCGAAGGACCGACAGTCAGGGCAGTCGGGCGTGGCCCTCGTCGCGTGCGCGTTGACCATAGCCACCGCCTGTAGAAGAAACGCCCAACTTCTGGAGAAATTCGAAAGTAACACTAATTATTTTTACACATGTGTTATTTAAGATGCTTAACTGGTTTCATATTTTTGACACGATCTCACACATGTTACTATGACATTTCTCTATATCATGTGTGTTCAGGTCTATTCTTTTGTTTCATAATGCGAGTCTTACAGCGCGTACCTTTCTCCTTAACCTCTAGATGATGCTTCCATTTGGTTGGAATTCTTCTGCTTGGAACCTTCCACAGAATTTTGCGTATCATTTCTCGCCTCGATCTCATTTACTTTCACATGCTTTTTTTCCTGAAATTATGATAGTATTACTAGGATCTCACAATGTATACGGTATACAAATGTTGCTTAATGTTCTTGCTTCATGTGCATCACATTGTTTTATTTTGGACATAAAATCTTACGAGATATATATTTTCATGAATTTTCCTAGACGTTAGCACTAGGTAGCTTCCATCTATCGAAAACCATCCTTTCATTGTCATGAAACTCAACTTGCTCTTGAAGCCGCAGATGCCTAAAAGGTATAGGTGCAAGGCAGGGTCGGTCCTATCGTTGGTACTTTTTGGAAGTTTTTACGACCCCCTTCCTTCACCAGAAGTTTCATACGATCCCCTCTTCACAACTACTTTTTTCCCTCGAAAAACACCGTCGAGCGCGAGAGGGGGGAGGAAGTTCATAACTATCATGAAACTTTCCTGTATTTCCCTTCATTTTCCCTCTTTTTTCACCAATATTTCCGCTGATCCATTTTCTAGGGAGGGTATATACGCACACTGAACGGTAGATTTTCTCCCGCGCGCTCTCAAATCATGACATGTACATATTTTCGCGCTACCGGCAAGTACGACTCCCCCAACACAAATTTCAACAAACTACGACCCTCCCCCCCCCCGTTGTTACTTGTAGCAACGTAGGGTTGACCCTGGTGCAAGGACTAAGCAATTGTGAATTACGCAGAGCTCAATCGTGATGCTCAGAGAAAATCTTCTTATTTCACACGTCATTAGGGATCAGGTCAACCGTTCGGGGGAGGGGTCGTATTTGAGGGATGGAAAAGAGGGGGGGGGGTCGTATTTGGCGAGCTAGCGTCAATGTTACAGTAAGGGAAGGGATGGTTTTTCATGCAACGGAGAGCGGGTCAGCTTGTTGGCTGGGATTTTGAGTGCGAACATTTAGCCGTTTCACATTCAATGGTAATTTTAGAGGAAAAAGTGGGCGGAGTTGGGCTATGTCGACTGGTCTCAAAATGAAATACTATAGAAATAATGTATTAGGTTGGTAACTTTGGAATGTAGCTTCCTTTTGCGTCTCTATTTCCCATCTAAAATACAACCTCGTAATATTTGAGACTAATTATTCGAGAGAGCTATTCAGTAAGCATATTTTGAAATCTTAGGCGTCAATGAGCGGATGTTCTTTGAGCCCAAACTTTTCCTCGAAGATGGTTGATCAGAAAACATCGTATGACCGTATATCTTCAAGGAAGGAAAAACGGCCAATGAATCTCATTCATTGCGTGCAAAACATTGAGCAGCAGCACCTAGTCTCTGATGCACTTCCAGCTATGGTTTGAGCTCTCCATGTTTGAGGTAAAGGATGTGAGGACGAAGGGCATGAATATTGACCTGTAACTGTATAAATGAAGAATTAAAGAATGCCATAGAATTGAGCCCGCCCCCCAAACTACATAGAAGCTCATTTGTGTCAGCCGTAAAATTTAGAAGTTTCCGCGTGCGACTGCTAAGGCCTTTCTAAAAAGAAAATGGGTTCGGCCTATTCTGAGGGAAGCGAGCAAGCAGTATTGGTTGCCAATATTGGAACTCTGCTCCATAACTTCAAGAGGAAGAAAGTTCCGACCTCGTGTTAACGGCGTTTTACAAAGGGATCTTTTCCAATAACAACTATGGACAACTGAGGGTGACTTCAAAGCCGGTCATCCACGGAGAAGAAGCTTCGCTACGGTGTGGTGGAACAATATAAGAATGGTTTGCTATGGATGACTGATTGTAGGTCAGACAGTTGCAGCTGAACCCTACGCACAGTAACCGCCGCCGTGGACCGAGCTCTGCGTCATCGAGGGGTAAATCCGGCCATTATAAAACTATGGCACGATAACGCAGGGCCGCATGTCGCGAAAATCACGCAACAAAAAATCGGAGAGTTGGGCTAGAACGTTCTACCTTCCGCGCCATATTGCAGATCTGGCACTGTCCACCTACCATTGAACCAGGTCGATGTCGCTCTCCTGAGTAGCAAACAAATTCAATAACCGCGACGGCGTCAAAGTTTGAGTATCTAACTTCTTCGGGTCGTACCTCAAAGGGTTTCACGAGGTAGCCTCCATGCTTTGCGCAACAAAAGCTGGAGAGTTGACATATATAGAGGAAAGGCTGATGTACCCTGATGTAGTTTTTATAACAAGGTTTTCCTGAACCATCTAGTACGCGGCGCCACTTGCAGCTGCACCACCTCCGCCCGCCTATAATAGCAACACTTCGTAAGGTATATTCAGCAAGGTTAGGAGCATTTCGCAAGTGCCTATTAGGGCCCTATAATTGTTCAACTGTAGTGATGACCACAAGGGTGATCTGCGCCACCAGCGATCGTGATCGAATTTCGATAACTGGCGCGAAACCACCCACTCGGCACTCACACCACCCATCAAGACGGCACCATCTCAGCAATAGATTTTTTAACCATTCGATATTTAAATTCTCTCTACTGTGCTCGAGTCTTTGAACTTATTCATTGAATTAGTTTTTTGTTGGCTAGTTAGCTCTGGAGAAGAATTGCAATCTGATCCCTTCGCCTGAAAGGCTTTTCTTTTTTCTTCTGCTTGAGACATTCGGCTTACGTTCCCCCCCTCCGACTAGTTTGCACAGCCTGTAGAGTTACGAGCTGGATTTCCGGAAAGATAGCTCTAAGGTGACCAAAATGTTTTCTCACTTCATAGGACCAAGCCAAGGAGGACAGCAACGCCGGTGAAAACGAAAATGTCTGACTCAGCCTAGCCTTAAAGCTGCACAAGTTGAGTTTTCCGTTGATAATGACGACCTCTCTGAAGAAGTGCCACCAATTTTGCCCGAAGAAATCGAACATACTATGAAAATGATGAAGTTGCAAAGGAACCAGGACGCGACCACATGTACTCGCGCACATGACCGTTGAAATGTTGATGGCCGCATATCATATACTGGAGAAACCATTGACAAAACTTATTCAATGACTTCTCAGAAATGAAGAACTCCTACAAGTCTATCCGAATCATCAATGTCGCTTCTATTCAAGAAAGGAGACCTCTGGATATTCGTAATTTTCGCCCTATCGCTTTACTTCCGACGATCTACAAACTCTTTATTTCGTATTTGGGCGGATGATATCTTCCTTGGAGATAAATCAGCCTGTTGAACAGGCCGGCTTTCGCAGAACTTATTCTACCATCGATCACATCCACGTCATCAATCAGCTTATGGAGAAAAGCGGTGAATACAACATTCCCCTGTACATTGCTTTCATCGATTATCTCAAAGCGTTTGACTCTATAGAACACGATGCTCTGTGGAAATCGCTGTGTTGTCAAGGGGTTCACCCGAAAATCGTCCGCCTTCTCTCAAACATATATGAGTCCGCCATTGTAAATGTAAAGATATGTGGTCACGTGAAGCCAATCAAAATGAGACGAGGCGTCCGTCAAGGAGACCCTATCTCACCCGCACTTTTCGCTGCTGCACTGGAAACTGTTTTTCGAAATATCGATTGGTACGAGGAAGGGATCTGCATAAATGGATACTATCTGAACCATCTTAGATATGCAGACGATGTTGTGATTATCGCACACGAAAGCCAGAAACTTCAGGGTATGTTACAAGAAGTTCACGAGAAAAGCCAAATCGTGGGGCTCAAAGTCAACTTCACATTCTGTTGTTCAACCCATTACCATCGATGGACACGATGTTCAATATTGTACCAATTTTATTTACCTTGGACAGAGAGTTTCCTTCGATGCGAACAACACAGTAGTAATACAAAGAAGGATCCAAGCAGGATGGAATGCATTCAATCGCCTCAGCTCTTTCCTC